AATACACAGCTCCATTTCAACACACAGCTCCATTTCCACACACACCTATGGGTGAGCACCAGAAGAGCAGACGAGCATGAGCTATATGCATAATCACCGCATACCTAGGACACGCCTCCCTACTACTCACAAATCAAGTTGGCCAAATTTTTTTTTAGAGGCTCTGAGTGATCAGAGCTCACTACAGCCTCGAACTCTTGAGCTCAAGTGATCCTCCTGCCTCAGCCTCCCAAGTAGCTAGGGCCATAGGTGTGCACCACACCTGGCTAATTGTTTTTTTTTTTTTTTTTTTTTTTTGGTAGAGACCGGGTCTCACCATGTAGCTCAGGATGGTCTCAAACTCCTGGCCTTAAGCCATGCTCCCACCCTGGCCTCCCAAAGTGCTGAGATTACACGCATGACACACCACACCTGGCCCTGTCCAGCTTTTTAATAACTCTTTTGGTCCTCATTTTCTTTCTTCTAATTCTCATGGTTAACCTCTTCAGGTACTGATAGCTGAAAACAAAACTCAATAATTTCCCTTATAATCTTGACTTCCCTATTGCTACCGAAAGCATTACCATTCTTACAAAGGCATATTTGATTCATTCCTCTCTTGGTCTACACATCCGATACGTCAAGGCCTGGAGAACTCTAAAGTACCTACTATATTGATTTCCATCCAGGGCTACAAAACCCATCCAGATCCCACCAGCTATCTTATCCTCTTCCAATCCATCCTGCAGGACAGAAGCTATCCTAAAGTTCCTCGCATCCCACTAAAATCATATCCTACTCTGCAGACCTTCTAATTGATCCCCAGTACCCAAAATTAAACAAATTTGAAACAGATTTGAGAGAGAGGGCTTCAGACCATCTATTCCATAATTCTCTCAACTCGGAGGAAAGGGCTATACTAGTGGCTTAACGGTATCTCTGCAATTTGATTTGGTTTTGTTTCATGTTTATGCATGGTGCTCATGGGAATACAGCATATTCCTCTGGGTGTACCGGCAGTGAAAAATGCCTGAGGATCACTGATCTAGCCTAATCCTTATTCTACAGATGAGGATGGGAATGCTATCACCTGGTTCTCTAGGTATTGCCAAACACAGCATACAATGGAGTTTAGTTTATTTCCTTCACATACTCCGACTCTTGCTAAACCGTGTTGAGACTGCCCACACTTTACTATCAGTCCCTGCTGCTCCCTTCCTCTCTCCCTCCCTCAATCTGTCTGTCCTCACTTGCCACATGCCCATCCAGGAAGCATATGCCCACACCAATCCCCCTAAAGAGGGTACAGTATGATACTGCCCTCTTTTAAATCTCCACTGCATTTTGTACCTCACTTGTAGCAATCAGGAATTACATATATACTAAATAGATATTTGGTTGAAACTGACAGGAATAAATATTGCCAAACCAGTAACAGATTCAGTTTCAGGTAAATCTATAGTTCATTAATGGCCTCTCTGCCACTGATCCTCGCTGTCATTATCTTAAGATAATCACTAACTCTCCCAGGATAACACCAGGGTTGTTGCTTTCTAAAGTCATCAGAGGTTTCAAATTTCAAAATTCCAGGTAAGTATTCTCAGAAGTCTCATACAAGACAGACTGAAATACAAGAACCATTCTGTTTTGAGCATAATTTAATTATTTTTAATTAGCAAATGACTAATTTCAAAGTGCTGTCAGAACTTTACCAAATGCCTATTCAAAACACATTTTCTATATATATAATCTCAAAGCATTGGTGGTATCATAAAACCTGTAGGCTGAAATAATTCTAAATTAAAAAAATAAAAAATAAATTAATAAAAGCTTTATTTAGCCAAATGCCACCAGCTTAAGCAAAACTAGATGATTTCAATTTTGCATTAATAAGTTGTCATCCCTACAGTATTTATCATGTGACTATCTTAGGTACCCATTGAAAGTTTTTCTCCATAAAAGGAAAACACTTAATTTCCAATGAATACTTTTAAAAATCTGTGATTTTCATAATGTCAACCAATGTCTTTGCATCATCGACAGCTACATTACCTACAAAGTACTCAACAGATGAATGAGTTCTTTCTTATACTAGAAATTGAACATGTCAGTACTTAAGCCAACATTCTAAACTACAAAAATTAATCAAATTATTCTAAATTACCAATAACATAAATTTCTCTTTTTGTCTTGACAGTACAACAGGATTCAAATCCACCAATCATATTTCTTTATGTGCTCTTGGGCTATCTTAAACCAAGTCCTAAAACTTTTTTTCCTCCAAAGCAGACACACATATACACATTCACCTGACAGCCTTCCTCCCAGGAAGTACAGACAATAAAACAAATGAAACTAATACTTAGCCTGAACAACTCACTGTCATGCATTGTTACTCATTCCAGGCAAGTGGACATATTCTAAAAGTTCAGAACACAAAATGTTGCATCCATTTTACTATAATCTTAAGAACTACTGTCTTTCAAAAGGTAAAGCATCCAAGTTAACACCCCAGCCACTAAAGAAAGGAAAATGCCTGACAAGCAGTATGAAATAGCAGCTCAAAACAGAGTAACTCTATTAAAAACATTCACTGGTCAAACTGTATATCAAAACCTAAATAGTGGCAGGGCATGCCTGTTATCCTAGCACTCTGGGAGGCTGAGGCAAGAGGATTGCTCAAGGTCAGGAGTTCGAAACCAGCCTGAGCAAGAGCGAGACCCCGTCTCTACTATAAATAGAAAGAAATTAATTGGCCAACTAATATATACAGAAACAATTAGCCAAGTGTGGTGGTGCATGCCTGTAGTCCCAGCTACTCAGGAGGCTGAGGCAGCAGGATTGCTTGAGCCCAGGAGTTTGAGGTTGTTGTGAGCTAGGATGATGCCATGGCACTCACTCTAGCCTGGGCAACAAAGTGAGACTCTGTCTCAAAAAAAAAACAAAAAAAAAAAAAAACCTAATTAGGTCAATTTTTACTTTCCTAAATCCAAAATACTTAGATGTTTTGGCACCTGCTATGTGCAAAACAAACACTATGTTAGGAGCTGCAGGGGGAAAAAGATCAACACCTATCCCTAAGCAGTCAATAAATTCTTATAAGCCTAGGACAAGTAAGGTGAGCTACAAGCATCATTAAGAAAAACAAAATGTCACTGAAGTATCACATATAAAGTATTGAAAAAAAAAAGAAGCCTAGCCACAAACTGTAATTTAATTGAATATATGCATAGCTATCAATCCTAAATACTATTTGCTAGGCCTTCAAATGGGACTTAAAGTTAGCTTAATTGCCATGCCAAAATGTCTTAGCTCTAACAAGAAAAACCTTCCTCTAATAGTGTAAATAATTCAGTCTCCATGTTTCAAGTCCTAGCTCTTGGTACAAAGAAGAACAACATGTGATTTTCTAAGGTAAAAACTATTACTATAAAAAATGTACTAAAATTAAGTTGGCAAGACCTTATGTGTGGTCTCTTCTACATACAAAACATAAATACTTGACATTTGATTCATTTCCTTCATTCTCCTGACAGCCTTCCACGGACAAGACAAGCAACTAATATTACTGTCAGGTAAAAGAAATCACCCTTTTTCACAAGATGTTAGGACAATCTAAATGGGTTTACAACTAGTTTAATACCTACACTACTTCCCCAAATAAGTATTTAAGCATTTATTAAAAAATGGAAACTCTTAAATTTAACTACTTCTACTACCGAGTCTCTCTAAAAATGACATCTTTTTCAAGAAAAAAATAGTATGTCCTCATAAATATTTCCTCATAAACTTTACTTTGTATATGCTTTCAAAACCAGATTCTATTTTAGTTAATCCAAATTAACACAAATATAAAGGAAAAGTCTTCTAGGTTGTTGTTACAGTTATGTTGTTTTCACAATTTAGTAAACCGCAACTACGTATTTAATACAAAGCAGCAACTGGGGAGGGGGGAGTGTTTAACAAAAATGCATGGAGAAACTTTCTGTGAGAAAACAGGAGAGGAGTTACCATGGAGAAATTCATTACAGATTCAGGGAGGCCTTTTTCCTCAGAAATAGAATGAAAAGAAAAAGTCATTTTGTAATAAATCTGATATTTCTGCTGTGTGACTTAAAAGTTGGTCTGAAAGTTCATCTTCATACAATTATGTCTGGATGATCAACTACACACCTTCTGCAACAGGTGACACGAAACTGCATTTCCAAAGCAAAGCAAAGGGATCAAATCAGTGAAGACGCATGTTCCTACTGTTTTGTATTTTTATTTTGGATCTAACCAAAATGATTTTGAATCAGATCAACTGCCAAATTTTGTTTTGTTTGGTGTTCTGCTTTGCTTTTTAATCAGCCATTTACCAGCAACTGTTGCACGAGCCCATTAGCGCTCGAAGAATAAAAACAAAAACACAGGACCAGATAAGGCTACCCTACTAACTCAACTGATCCATTTCCTTAACACAATTTTTAAACCACACAGCTAAGGGTGTGAAGAGAAGCATGTTTTATGTGTGTTTGTGTGCCACAGTCCGCCTAAATCTTTAATTCCCTTTTTAAAAAGAGATATATAATAAAAATCCAAAAGAAACCACATTAGAAATGCAAAGAGATTTGCAAAACAAGAGGCTTCTTTCATTCCAAAAAACCACACCAAAACAAGGGGAGAAAAATGAATGCAATGGATATGTGTGTGCCAAAGTTTCAATCCTGCCTGGTGGAGACACCGCACTGGCACAAATTTTGAAGAGGAAAAAGAGGGGGTTGGAGGGGGGAGAAAGAGAGCGAGAGTGTGGCCTGCAAACTGCAACAATGCAATCTCCATTTTGAACAATGCGACTCTTTCCTCTTGTAAATCTAGTTTTTTGCCACTTGATGTGCAGTCGCATTTCCCCTCTGTTTGGGGGGGGAGGCGCGGTCGGGGGGAGATCGGAGCAGGATGCACAGTACTCCAGAGGGAGTGAGCAAGGGGGGAGGGTAGAGGAGGTGGGGAAGGAGTCTGCAGCAACTGGGCTGGGTGGGTACCTGGAGTGCTGCTGTAGGTGCTATGGCTCCTGAAGCTGCTTTCCGTGCAGTAACTGGCGTCGTCATCGTCGTCTTCCATCTCCTCCGGATAATCGGAATCATCGTCGTCCTCCTCCATCTCATCTTCCTCGTCGTCCTCAGAATCCTGGGTCTCCTCAGCGTCGCCGTCGTCCTCTTCCTCCTCCTCCTCGGAGACCATGTCCTCCTCTTCCTCCTCCTCCTCGCTCTCGTGGTCATCGTACACCACTTTGTTGACGGCCCTGCGGGCCGGGGTGGTCCGGGCCAGGTGGCCGCCGCCGCCCCCGCCCCCCGTCCTGCCGCCCCCGCCTCCTCGCCCCCCCCGGCCCGGGGCGCTGGTGCTGGGGGGGGCCGGCGGCGGCGGCGGCGGCGGCTTCCTCCGGCTACTGCTGCCCCCCCTGGGCGAGCTCAGCCGCGTCTTGGGCGCCACCTCAGCCTGGGCGGCGGCCCACCTGCCCCGGCTGCTGCCGCGGTGCCGCGAGCGCAGCCCCCCGATGGGTCCGGACGTGGGCGGCGGCGGCGGCGGCGGCGGCGGCGGGGCTGGGGCGCAGCGCTCCGCAGCGGGAGCTGCGGGCTGCTTGGGCGGCCTGCCCCGCCGGCCCCTCATGTTGGAGCCGAGGCGGGGGGAGAAGGGAAAGCGGAGGGGGGAGGGGCGGGCGCAGGGGGGCGGTGGGGGGCGCCGGGGCCGGGTGGGGAGGCCCGCGGGGCCGGGCGGGAGGGGCCCGGCCGGCGGAAGCGGGTGGAGGGAGAAGGCTCAATCCGAATTGCTGGGGCCCCACTCCGGATCGCCTTCAGCCGCCATCTTGTTTCTTCCCTCTCGCTCGGTGACTGGGGGAACCGACAGCGGCCGCAGGCCCGGAGCGCGGTCACGTGAGCTGCGCCGCCGACGAGCCTGGGACGCAGCTAGGCGGCGCGGCGGCCGCTAGGGGGAGCGCGGGAGCGCCGAGTCGGGGGCGGGGAGCCGGGGTGCCGGGGGCGCAAGGGCTCGGCGCTTCGCAGCGCTGCCGGACCGCGGGTGCTGGGCAGAGGGGCGCGCCAGTCGCCAAATGCCCCGAGTCAGGGGCCACGGGGGACCAACGCCTCCGCGGAGCCCCGGCTGGAGCCCGAACTCGGCTGGACCTCCTCCCGACGTCTCCCCTGGTCCGGCTCGGGGAGGAGGACAGAGAAGCCCCCAGATACCCTCCACTTGCCCCCTTAGGGAAACTGAGGCCGAAAGAGCCTGAGAGGGTGTCGCGGAGTGGGGCGACCCCAGCAACCGAAGGCACTGGGCAGCGCCAGAGACATAGGGAAATAAACCGGGGGGCCGCGAGACGAGCCCCCAGAATTAGGAAACTCCGATACTTGGTTCTGGAGTCCTGAAATCGACCCCAGTGACAACTGCTAGGAGATTGTGCCAGGAACCACGCCCTGGGCCGTCAGAACCGGAGGGAGGGTCATTCTGAGGCTTATTGCATAGAATCCCCACCCAGAAAGCCTCGGATAAACTCCAGAACGCAACCACAGTACATTCTAATCTCCCATCACCTTTTCCAAAGTCCCAGCTAGGAAATGGACCACTTCGGCAAGAACTTGCCTGTCTCTGCTTTGCAGTAGAAAAGATGGCATCCTGCCTAAAACCTACTTCACAGTATGTTTGTATTATTGGGGAAAGAATCTTAATTCCTTTACCTGAGAAATCACCTGGGTCTCAGCCCAGAGAACGAAGCATGATGATGAAATTTCAGGCACCCCCACACCGAATCAGAGGGACTCCTCCCGGGGTGCTCAAGGTCAGCATTGCCGATAAGATAAGGGTTTTGTAAACATATATGAACTTGCACTGAAATATGTGACAACCAAAAGGTAATTTAAAGAAAAACAGCTAACAGGATTCCGTCTGCCAAATGGCTTATTACAATCTAGGAAAATAGAACACATATGTGAAATTAAAATTAAAATTAAAGCACTAATTGTCCAATTAATTTATTCAATACAGTTTGGTTGAGCACCAAGGATGGCAAACTTATAAGTGCCTACAGTGACTAGGTAAGTAATGAAAGTAAGAAAAGTGGGCAAGGTGAGGGCTTTGGCAAACAGAAGTGCCCATGTTTTGTTTAAAAAGGGCAGCTATGGGAATGCAGGCCTAAAATTGCCAGATCTCCAAAATTTTGAGGAGAAGGTAGAAATGTGGATTTCATATGAAATCTTTTGATTTTTAAATGTTGGCAACTAAGTCAATTTTTTCTTTTTCTTTTTTTTTTCTATTTTGAGATAATGCAGTGAGGTAAGTCAATTCTTAAAAAATGCTACAGATTGGTCTGGGTGTGGATTACACTCCTGTAATCCTAACACTTTGGGAGGCTAAGGCGGGAGGATTGCTTGAGGTCAGGAGTTGGGAACCAGCCAGAGCCAGATCCTGTCTGTACCCAAAATAGGTGGGTGTGGTGGCGCATGCCTGCAGTCCCAGCTACTTGGGAGGCTGAGGCAGGAGGATCAATTGAGCTCAGAAGTTTGCAGTTGCTGTGAGCTATGATGACGCCAAGGTTATCTCCCCAGGGCTACAGAGTAAGACTTTCAGAAAAAAAAAAAGAAAGGAAGAGCTGGGCCCAGTGGCTCATGCCTGTAATCCTAGCACTCTGGGAAGCCAAGGCGGGTGGATTGTTTGAGCTCAGGAGTTCCAGACCAGCCTGAGCGAGAGCAAGACTCCATCTCTACTAAAAGTAGAAAGAAATTAGCTGGACAACTAAAAACATATATGGAAAAAATTAGCCGGGCATGGTGGCACATGCCTGTAGTCCTAGCTACTCGGGAGGCTGAGGCAGGAGGATCGCTTGAGCCCAGGAGTTTGAAGTTGCTGTGAGCTAGGCTGACGCCATGACACTCTAGCTCTGGCAACAGAGTGAGACTCTGTCTCAATTAAAAAAAAGAAGGGCGGGTGTGGTGGCTCACGCCTGTCTGTAATCCTAGCACTTTGGGAGGCCTAGGCGGGCGGATTGCTCAAGGTCAGGAGTTTGAAACCAGCCTGAGCGAGACCCGTCTCTTACCAAAAATAGAAATAAATTAATTGACCAACTAAAATATATATATACAAAAAATTAGCGGGCATGGTGGCGCATGCCTGTAGTCCCAGCTACTCGGGAGCTGAGGCAGTAGGATCGCTGACCCCAGGATTGAGGTTGCTGTGAGCTAGGCTGACGCACGGCACTCCACTCTAGCCTGGGCACAAAGTGAGACTCTGTCTCAAAAAAAAAAAAAAAAGAAGGAGGGAGAAGGAAGAAAAGAAAGAAAGAAAGAAAGGAAAACTGACTCTGCTCATTTCACCAGAAAAGGAACTCATGAGAAGGACATGGACAACTCCAGAATTGCTGATTCCACGTATAAATGGAATCCAAGCTCTCAGGCTGTTGCCTTCCATCTGGCCCCGGCAGCCATGTGTGCCGGGTCCCTAACAGGCCACAGACCAGTACTGGTCTGCCGCCTGGGGTTGGGGACACAGCCATGGGCCATTCCTCTGTTCTATTTTTTGTTTTGTTTTTTTGAGACAGAGTCTCACTTTGTTGCCCAGGCTAGAGTGAGTGCCATGGCATCAGCCTGGCTCACAGCAACCTCAAACTCCTGGGCTCAAGCCATCCTACTGCCTCAGCCTCCCGAGTAGCTGGGACTACAGGCATGCACCACCATGCCCGGCTAATTTTTTCTATATATATTAGTTGGCCAATTAATTTCTTTCTATTTATAGTAGAGATGGGGTCTTGCTCTTGCTCAGGCTGGTTTTGAACTCCTGACCTCGAGCAATCTGCCCGCCTCGGCCTCCCAGAGTGCTAGGATTACAGGCGTAAGTCACTGCGCCCGGCCCCTATGTTCTATTAAGCCAGCTGCTTCTGGTTGTTGGGGTGTACAACAGGCTGGTGAATCCAAGGGAGGGTCAGTTTTTTCATTGTAAGGTTAGTTCCTTGGTCAGGTGCCTTTGATGTATAAGATACCATGATGGTGAGTTAGGTATTCCATAAACCCATGTAGGGTAATAATAGTAAAAGCATTACTGGAAGAGCAGATCCTAATTCAGTATAAACCTCTTCCTACTGAGGTTGACTCACTGTCCCCACCATGGTAAAAAGAATCCATTCTAGGCCAGGCGCGGTGGCTCACGCCTGTAATCCTAGCACTCTGGGAGGCCGAGGCAGGCAGATCGCTCAAGGTCAGGAATTCGAAACCACCCTGAGCAAGAGTGAGACCCCGTCTCTACTATAAATAGAAATAAAAATTAATTGGTACTATATATATAAGAAAAAAATTAGCCGGCATGGTGGCGCACATGCCTGTAGTCCAGCTACTCGAGGAGGCTGAGGCCAGGAGGGGATTGTTTGAGCCCAGGAGTTTGAGGTTGCTGTGAGCGAGGCCAGGGCACTCACTCTAGCCTGGGCAATTAAGTGAGACTCTGTCTCAAAAAAAAAAAAGAATCCATTCTAATAATTCCTTCTAACGTGAGCCCTCAGCAGTAGCGATAACCTGGTCAACGTAGTGAGGAGAAGCCCAGGATGAAGCCCTCATAACCTCACTCCCAGAACCCTGGCCATTTTGTTCACAACTTTAATAGGCAGGCACTGGCTTGACCCACATCCAAGAAGTGGCTCTTGTTGTCCACTTGCTTTTTTTTTTTTTTTTTGAGACAGACTCTCACTTTGTTCCCCAGGCTAGAGTACTGTGGCTCGCCAGCTCACAGCAACCTCAAACTCCTGGGCTCAAGCAATCCTTCTGCCTCAGCCTCCCAAGTAGCTGGGACTACAGGCATGCTCCACCATGCCTGGCTAAGTTTTTCTCTATATTTGTAGTTGGGCAATTAATTTATTTCTATTTTTAGTAGAGACGGGGTCTCATTCTTGCTCAGGCTGGTTTCGAAACTCCTGACCTTGAGCAATCCACCCACTTTGGCCTCCCAGGGTGCTAGGATTACAGGCGTGAGCCACCACGCCCGGCCTGTCCACTTGCTTATTAAAGCTTCCTTAGCAGTGAGGACATTTGGATAAGTATTCAGATGGGATGCAAATACTCTCATTTTCTAGGCCTATTCTAAATGTTGCATCTACATCTCTCTCCCAGACCTCCTTATCACCAGTCTGAGTCCATGACCATCTGGCCCATGAAATGATACAGTCTTTCTCATGGCAGAAAGGACCAAGAGAGTACAACTCAAACTCTACCCTGTGGGATGATTTCCTTTTGCCACTGTCCTTTAATACCACTTTGAAGTGCAACTGTCATGCCTTAGCAGCCCACTTCCAGCTGATACCATCTGTGAACCAAGCTCAAATGTCGTCTTCCTTAGTCACCTGGTTATGGGAGTTCATAAGGCCATGGTTGTGAACTGAGGGAAGGGTGGCCGTGGAAGGGGAGTAAACACACTTGGGGCTGCACTCCTGTGCTTTTCCAGAACCTGCTCGGGCCTGCGCTTATATATACCATGTCCTCTTGGGGAAGGAAGCGCTACTGGGCACTTTATTCCTAATGAGCAGGTACTCAATTAATGATAAGCCACACAGGTATGTGGTCACCTGGCCTTCAGTCTTTGCCAGGGCCCAGGAGCAAAGTGAGAGCAGTTTTCAGAAAGAATAGTTATTAGCCAGAGAGACAAAAGCTTTGTTCCAAAACCCTCAGCACAACCACAGGGATAACTTTTTTGGCTTGTCACGGGCTCTGGATAGCATCCCAGATGTGGCCATCCACAGAGCGCCATTGGATACGCTGGCCCATGAGGACCGATTGGCAGAGCACCTTGCACTGCAGCTTGGACTCCCTGACTTCCTTTTGTGGACGCATTTACCTCTACCCATTGGC